TATATACTAATGGCTATGTAATTTAGTGTGTGTGTGTGTGTGTGTGTGTGTGTGTTTCAGTCAAAAGTCCCACTCTGTCACCCAGGCTGCAGTGCAGTGGCATAACCATGACTCACTGCAGTCTCGACCTCCTGTGCTCAGGCGATCCTTCCTCCTCAGCTTCCGGAGTAGGTGGGACTACAGGCATGTGCCACCATGCTCAGCTAATTGATTTGTGTTTTGTAGAGATAACATCTCAAACGCCTGGGCTCAAGTGATCCTCCTGCCTCGGCCTTCCAACTTGCTGGGATTACAAGCATGAGCCACCGCGCCCAGCGGTAATGCGTATTTTTATTTTATTTATTGAGTTGGAGTCTCACTCTGTCACCCAGAGTGGAGTGCAGTGGCACATTCCTGGCCACCACAGCCTCGACCTGCCGTGCTCCGGCGATCCTTCCGCCTCAGCCTTCCAAGTAGCTGGAACTACAGGTGTACGCTACTACACCCGGCTATTTTTTTTTTAGTATTTATTGTAGAGATGAGTTCTCGCCAAGTTGCCCAGGCGGGTCTCGAACACGCGGGCTCAGGCAATCCACTCGCCTTGGCCTCCCAAAGCGCTGAGATTACAGGCTGAGCCACCGAGCCCGGCCAGTAATGTATATTTTTAAATGCAGTAATTAGGATTTCACGAGTATTAGTGGTCAGAATGAGGTGAAGTTACAAAAAGTGTATTTCAAGTCAATTAGATGGTGATGGCTGAGCAAACATTTTGAATGTTCTTAATGCAACTAAATTATAAAGTTATACTGAAAAATATACTAAAATGCTAAATTAGAAAATTATATTTTAAAATGGTTAAGATGGCAAACTTCAAATTACAGAAATTACAGAAATCTTACATATATGCAACCCCACCAGTGGCAGACAATGGCCGAACTGGTGCCAGATATAAGGAACTGAGAGTGGAAAACAGTGCTTGTTCAGGAGCCTCACCCCCATGGGTGGCAGCACCCCGAGGAGCACGCTGGCCAACCAGTTCCTAGGGAATCCTTCCAACACCTTAACAGCCACTTTAAGGAGGGCAGAGCTGCAATGAGCTCCACCCAGGGGAGCCACAAAGCCACAGGGTTCCCTAAGTCCCTCTCACTAGGGCTAGGGAACAAAGTACCATCAGTCATCTGATGAGACAGGCTAACTAAAGCACACTTTCTTGCTTTTGAGTTCATTCTATGCAGTGGTGATGAAGAGAAATGGTGGGTTTGTCACTCTCCAGCAGGCAACCCAATTTCCTTTCACCTGCTTGCTCACCTGGAAAAGGGGGATGGGGCCAGCAGCTACCCCGCAGGGATGATAAAGACAGAAGCAGGTAGCGTATTATCTGTGCTTCCCACAGCGCTTGATGGTGGTATACAGTTGATGAACATTCCACCTAGGGCTAAGTACTTGCATGTTAATAAAAAGTTCTGATCTAGCCGGGCTTGGTGGCTCAGCCTATAATCCCGTGCCTTTGGGCTGAGGTGAGTGGATTGCCCAAGCCCGCGGGTTTGAGACCCGCCTGGGCAGGCAAGACCTCATCTCTACAATAAAATCAAAAAATTAGCCGGACCTGGTAGTGCGTGTAATTCCGGCTACTTGGAAGGCTGAGGCGGAAGGATCGCCGGAGCCCAGCAGGTCGAGGCTGCGGTGGCCGGGAGCGGCCACTGCACTCCAGTCTGGGTGACAGAGTAGAGACTCCAAGTCAAAAAAAAAAAAAAGTTCTGATCTGTAAACATAATTTTTTTTTGAGTTGGAGTCTCACTCTGTCGCCCAGGCTGGAGTGCAGTGGCTCCGGGCCACTACAGCCTCGACCTGTTGGGCTCCAACGATTCTTCCGCCTCAGACTTCCAAGTAGCTGGAACTCCAGGCGTGCGCAACCACGCGCGGCTGATTTTTGATTTATTGTAGAGATGAGGTCTTGCCAAGTTGCCCGGGTGGGTCTCGAACCCACAGGCTCAGGCAATCATCCACTTGCCTCGGCCTCCCAAAGTGCTGGGATTACAGGCTGAGCCACCAAGCCCGACCTGTAACATAATTTAATGAACAGAATTGGGGAAATGAATAGAAGAGCACTTAAATGCAGAACTTAGACGACAAAATCTTTTTGGGGGAGCAAGCGGACATCATCAACCCAGATCCACAGTCTGGGAGACACTCAGCTAAACAAATACGAGGTTTCTCTACTGCCTGATTTCTCAGAGCTTCAAATATACTTGCATGCTGTCAGGAACTAGAAGGTAGGGAGAACACTCCCAAGTTTATTTGGGTTCAGAACCCTCATTTCACAGAACATCTCATGCACTAGTACTCAACGCAACGCAATGCCACTGGGAAACACTACCTCAGACACGCATAGGAGGACACTAAGGAGAAGGCGGAGGCCTTGCGCACTGCAGGCCATGTGCTAGTCTATTCCTCCAGATAGGTCCCAGCCTCCCAAGGGCAGACCCACCTGGGGGAGCTGGGGATCTCCATGTGAGCACAGAAGTGGTAGTAAAGGGCAGGATAAGGAACAGTCAAGCGAACATGTAGCTAGAGACCTTGTGATTCCTGGGCCAGTGCCTCAGAGGCCGGGAGGTCCCAGGTGGAAGGCCTTGCTTGGATTGTGATCTAGCATTAGATCACAACTGGTAGTAAACTGAAGGAATCTTAGAAGCATGCCCTTTGGCAACCTTGTACTTAGGTCAGAGTGAGGGAAGTAGAACCTAGCCACTTTGGGCAGGAGCTTCCAAGGCCTGGAGAGAGGAAAACAGCCACACTCTTGAGAGTTTATGCAGGCCGGCAGAGTCCCAGGGAGCAGGGACCATGCAGTACCAGGGAAGAGACTTGCACTGACAGGTCTGGACAAGCTCTGTGTGGTGGCCATTTCTGAGAGCAGGAGAAACACAAAGATTGAGGCTGTCTAAAAGTGTGTTCAGTTGTTTCATTTAAGGCATTTTCATGTAAGCAGAGATCTTGCAGAAGAACACAGGAGGACGTGGAAGGCCGTTCTGGGGGAGAAGCTCTTTCTTTCTTTTTTTTTTTTTTTTTTTTTGAGTTGGAGTCTCACTCTGTCGCCCAGACTGGAGTGCAGTGGCCACTCCCGGCCACCGCAGCCTCGACCTGCTGGGCTCCGGCGATCCTTCCGCCTCAGCCTTCCAAGCAGCCGGAACTACAGGCACGCGCTACCACACCCTGCTGATTTTTTGATTTATTGTAGAGATGAGGTCTCATCAAGTTGCCCAGGCGGGTCTTGAACCCGCGGACTCAGGCAATTCACTCACCTCAGCCTCCCAAAGCGCTGGGATTACAGGCTGAGCCACCAAGCTCAGCTAGTTCTCTTTCTTGAGGTGCTTTTGGTGGGTTCAGCTGCACACCTTCCACCTTCCCATCAGGCATATCCAAGTGAAGACTCACACGGCGCCCACCCCCACCTTCAGGAACACGCCAGTCCCACCTGCTCCAGGACCCCGTGGCCCCGGAACAATCAATAACTCGAAAGACAACATTAGTTCTTCTCAAACAGTTTAATAGCAAATAAACAAAGGAAGGTACCACACTTGGCAGATACAAAATGACTTTTGTCCGTGTGTCTGTGCAATTAAAACAGATTTAGGTTCCCCATTGGGACAAAAGGAAAAACACACACAAAAGGAAGGAGATTCCTTTTAAACACATACTCCCTTGCTCCAAACTTGTAACAATTTTTTTCTTTTTAAATTCACTACACAAACTCTGTGATTAGGTAAGAAAAGCGACAAAGGCTCTTCTTGCCTTTTTTTTTTTTTAAAACCATTAAAGTAAAATCCATAATTTTCTACAGAGTACAACACAAGTTCACACAAAAAAGACATTTTCTTTTGCAAATCAAAACAGGAGAGAAAGGAAAGGCTCAACCAAGGCAAAGGAAAAGCGTTTCTACGGCTGAATCACGACTTTGAGTTGATTGAATCCCGTTGCTGCTGCAGAACAGACTGTGCGTTTGGTCATAGTGGCAATTTTTTTCTCTTCACATTGTGAAATCACTTTACATTGTTTTCTAGTAGAAAAGGCAAAAAACTGTACAAAACCCCTAGTGTTAAATACAACGTTTGTACCAATAAAAAACTCACACAGGTTTGTCTCCAAAATGTAAAGTTTCTTTTTTTTTTCTTTTTAAATTATTCACAAAAAGCAGCTGGAAATCAGAAAGGCAGCTGCCGCTCCAGGGTCTCAAATCCATTAAAACCACCACAGAACAATTAAAACAATCAGAGAGAGAAAAGGAAAAGGAAACAATGTCCAACGTTTGGCATTTGGTTTTATCCACAGGTTTTCCCAGAGCTCCTCTTGGAATTGAAAGCAAAATACATTGGCAAACACGGCTTCTCAATACACAGGAAGGGGAGCCTCCGTGCCTCCTGCCAACAGGGGCGGCTCTGTGCAGTCAGACTGTGGGGCGTGCAGGGTCTCTCAGGCCGGGGCTGCTGGTCTCTTTCCGTCCAGTCACCCCTTCCAGGAAACTCAGCAGCCTACCATGCATGGGGCCTCGGCTGGGCTGCCCTTTCCTCCTAGCGACAGCAGCCTCGGGCATAATACCAGGCAACCTGCCAGGTCCCAGGCAGAAACCGGCGGGACCCCCCTCCTTCATCGACCCCGGCATGGATGATGCTCGACAGTGCTTCTACCTTCCCCGCCCCCTCCCCAGCCCCTCAGCTACCCCTCTCCACCCTTCCCCGACAGTCCTACCTTTCAGCTCTCCCACCCCCCAGCAGCTCAGGTCTGGGTGGGAGCTATCGGATCATGCCCTCTGCAGCCTCCTCCCTCCAAGCTCCCCCCTGTAACCTCTCGTCTCCTTGCCTCTCCCCACACCATTCACATTCTTACTCAAGTCTCCGAGACCCTGAGGCTGGATGGTGCCACAAAAGAAGAGGGTCAGGTCCCCGCAGGGAACCAAAGAACTGGCTTGCCTGGCACCTAGGGACAGTAGCTGTTTGGCTCCTCACCCAGTTAAAAAAAGCCCTGCCCTTCCTCCTGCCCCACTAGCTAAGCAAGAGCAGAGCTGTGGTGAAGAGCCAGTGGGGTGGCCGGTGCCTGGGGCTGTAAACAGTGTGAAGACTGTAGTATTGTGCTTGTCACCTAGGAAGAGTGCCTGCAGGTGGAGGTTACTTAGTGTGCAGACGGGCGGCCATGAGCACCCTCCTCCTCTGGGTGCTCACTGCCCCTGGTGCGCTAAAGAGGCCTCCTGCCCGCCTGCAGTCATCATCTGGGCTCTGGCTCTGCTTCTCATGCCTCTCCAGCCCCCCAGCCCCACCCCCAGCAGAGCAGCCAGCCTCCTGGACGCCTGCTGAGACCTGGAGGCCACACGAGGTGACAGTCTAAGTGCACAGGCAAACGCTCTAAGGGCAATAGAGGAGAAAGTTGCCACTTCAGAACAAAACAATACAATCTTGAAAAAAATAACCCCACAACAATTTAAAACAGCTTCTTTGAAACCCTTTTAAATCGATCAGTTTTTGCACAAACTATAGAAAACAGAGAGGTGAAGGTGATATATACGAAGGTGTGAAGAAACAGCAGGAAACATGCAAAACTTGTTTTTTCTGGGCATAATCTTAGTAGGAAAGAAAAAAATTCAAAATGAAAACACAAAAACAATACAAAAACAAAAACTAAAAAAAGGAAAAAAAATCAAAGCATCACATTTTGCCGTGGAGACTGTAGGACAAGCACAGGGCTGAGGGGAGGGGCAAGCGCGATCCAAGGCGCCCGCAGAGTTAAGAGAACCAAAAGAAAAAGACAAGGGCAGGCTGGGGCCCACACTGCAGCCGCGGTCAAAAAGGAAGGGGTCCAGGTGCTTCTGCAGTGGAGAACTCAGAAACATAAAAAGAACAGCACATGCAGTCTCCTCAAGCCCCACAAACTGTGTCAGCAAAATGTGCTCAGGAGCCTCAAATGTTTTAGTGACATCTTTTATTTCATTGTTTACTTCAAAGTTGTCTTTAAAACTAAGCACACAGAGAAACAAAGCCTAGAAACGGACTGGCTGTGTGTTCACAGAAATACAAACACCACGCGGTATGTGCTAGTAGGGCTGCTCTGAAGACAGTTACAAATAATTGGAATCACAAAATCAAGTGGTTATCTTATGAAGTTCTAGAAAAATAGATTTTTTTATATTCAAATGCAAGTTTAAATATTTCCCCTTCAGCAGTCGTTCTAGCAAAACCAATTTGGCAGCACAAAAGGGAAAAAAAAGGAAAGAAAAAAGAAAAAACAAAGAAAGAAACAAACATAATAAAAATACACGTCAGCATCAAAGGTCAACACAAGGTCAAAGGTGAGAGTTCAAGCATCAGAGAAGCTGAAGAGACAGGGATTTGGACGATGTACTTGACGCCACATCGACATGCTTTAGGCACAACGATGAACAAACGGCAGGAATCTAGAAAAAAAACAAACCAGAAAGAGGGAGACCCACTGAGTTACACAGAGCAATACATCCAAACAAAGAGAGAGAGAACAGGAACACTCACTGTGTGTACAGCCCTGAAATGAGGAGGCGGGGCGGGGCGGGGGTTGGGTAATGACAGGGAACTTTTTGCACATGCTAACAATGGACACAGGGAAAAGTCAAAAGGACATGGAGGACACCAAGAACACATCCACTTGCCAGAGACAGAAGGGAACCTAAGGCTTGGATTTCCCATGAAGCGCCCAACTCCTAAGTGAAGGTCTCTGGGGGAGCAGAGCCTCAGCCTTTCCCTCCACTCCCTGGTCAAGGCCAGGGAGAAGGCAGAAGATGCTGGCTGGGGTGTAGAAAATTGTTCAGGGATGAGGGCTGGGTTTTCCGCTCAATCCCATGGGGATGGCCCTTTGTACCCAGAAATCCAAGCTCTTAGCTTCCACACAGGCCTTGGCCACTCATGTGGAACCCAGGAGACAGTTGTCTGGCTGTATTCAAGGCAAATCAATATCATGATATAACCCAAGTAAGAAACAAAACTACAGCAGAAAACACATTATAAATGAAACCTCCACACATGAAAGGATTGCTTAAGACTTGACTGCGAGTCTCCACTCTCTGAGCTGAGCCCTTTCACACGTGAGACTTATAGGGGAGCAGCTTCTTCACAAAACCATCTTTGGCCTGGGGAGAGAACTGTTCTCAAGGGTAGTACTGCTGCTGTGCTAACTCACTGGGCAGGGTGAGAAGAGAAACGCGTGGTCTCACCAGCTGGCTGCTTAAGCAGCCCGAGACCCTGCTGGAGCAAGCACTTCTTTTAGAAGAGAACCCACAAGCAGGTCCGAAGCCTCGGGGCCTGGTATCAAAGGCCGGTGGATTGCACCTTGGCCTCTATGTAATCAGGAAAATGGTTTCACAAGGTCCCAGAGCCCAGGACAAATCCATGGACAAATAATGGTGAGATGGGGGAGAAGGAGAGAAGATGGAAAGTAGGGAGGGAACGGAGTTCTGGCCGAGGAAGAAGACAGAACAGAAGGTTAGGGAGCACAGCACCGGCAGCACCCTGTGGAGCACAGCTCTCTCTCCTCTGCCAATTCACAGCATTAACACCTTCCCCTTGGGCAGGTTTGCTGGGCTGCAAACGGGCCACAGAAAGTCAGTAGTTTCAATCATACACAGCACCCTGTGTGTACAACAATCACATTCTGGATTCTACAAAATCCTGGCCTTTTCCAGAGATATAATTTAGGTAATAAATATTCTCCACCCCGGAGCTGTATAAAACTTCTATAAAAATAGAAACGACATTCTTGGTTCCAGCCGGTTGGGATTCAGAACAGCGCCTCCCCAACCTAGCATTTTTTTCTTTTTTTTTTTTGTTTTCTTTTTTCTTTTTTATATTTATTTTTTGCATTTATTTAAAAAATCCCATCATGACCCTGGAAGCCTTTAGAACAGTTTTATCCTTTGAAACACAGGACATATTTCTCCCAGTGCGCAGAATTCAAGTTTACGTGGTTCAGCTTAAGAAGTGTATGCTTCACGTTTCTTAGAGGACAACAGACCCAAGTTATCACTATGAGAAGGGAACAGCTGTCCCAGCTTCAATGGGATACTCCAACACCACCAACTACCTGTACAACAGCAAGACGGTCAATCCCTGTCTGTTACCCACTGGGACAGCATGACAAGGAGAGAGTCCCCATCTGACTTAATAGCAAACTAACCCCTTTATTTTTATCTCTGCTGCTAGGGGTCAGGACTGATATTTATGAGGTTTAAGATTCCAGGGACCCAGTCCCTGGCCGTAGTCATATCCTAACAGGGCTACCTCTGCCCAGGTGTACATTCCCGACAGCATGGCCTTTCTGGCTCTCCACCCCCGCAACACTTTTGGGAGCAGAGTCAAGGCTCAGAGGCCGGGTAGGTTACAGGCAAGAGCTGGAGTGAGACCTGTGGGAGGCAGCAGGGAGTTAACTGTAGTACGAGGACAAAAATGAACAAAGTAATACTGAGGTAAATGAACATTAAATCCATATGGAGGCTGTAAACGTCCTGTTGTCTCCCTGTCCTCAAGAGCAGAAGGTGGGGCTGGAGTGGCTAGAGGGGCCTGCCAGACCTGAGGGACCACTACATCTGGAACACCTCAATCAAGGAGGTCAGGGTGGATTTCTGGCCTCTGGCAAATGCAGCATGCTGGTTTGAAGGAACTTTCTGATTCCAGTACAGCAAGAAGCAAGCTGGTCCTCCCCCAACTAGGTGGCTTTTAATGACTCTGCCTGGAAGAGGTGCCCCTTCAGCTAGAACTGCAAGCCCTTGTTGAAGCTGCCCTCATGAGAAAACTGTGGCTTGGGATGGAGGTGGCGTGCCTTGCTGTGGTGAACTGCAAGGAAGGAAACAAGGCAATGTCTTCCACAGAGGCCTTTTTAAAAAAGACCTGTTGGAAATGGGCCATGGTCTAATTTGGTGTTGAAATAAACGAAAATTACCTTTGGCTGCTTCTCCCAAACAGCCGCCAGCCAGGCAGGGCCAATCCAATACAAATGGCTGGCTGGGAAAGCTGGGAGTGGTTAATGGCTCCCTGATTTTTGCATATGTCAGGCTAATTTAATTGGTGCTTTATTTCTAGAGAATTATTAACCCCTTTTTGGGAAAGAGAGGCAGAAATGCTGGACAAGAATCTGAAAAACAAGTGGCAAAAACTTGCTACTTCCCCAGAAGGCAGCTATGCAGAGGTTTGAGCCTTCAGCTGCCAGGACACCAGATGACTAGTCACCCCCACTCTCCTCCACAGACATCCCTAGTTGCTCTGCCCCTATGGTTCTCTGATGTCAGTTCTCATTTCACCCACCCTAGCACTCAGGGAGATTACAGGAGTCAGTTTTTTGTTTCACTCAGTCCTCTCTCTTGGAGTAACTGGGGGAAATTCTGACCATCTTCTTTTTTAAACGTTTCCCCATTCCTTTTCCCCAGGGTGGTTTGGTGTTGGTCCTTCTCAACACACACTGGTTACAAACACAGCAAACTTTAAATAAAGAAAAAAAAAAAAACTCAGGATATGGCACCTAAACTCCAAAGTAAAACACTGGAAACCAAAGCACAAACTTGTCCTCTGCACGAAGCGAAACTCCCACAGAAGGCAGTAGCCGAGTCTTCAGGGCAAGCTGTGCCTGCGAGAGTGGCAGGGATCAGGGTCCAGGGCTGTCAACACACAGCCTTAGGGCTTCGAATCATTAAGGGTGCTCCTCCCCCACTTACCAGAAGACCCTCTCACTCCAGTCTCAGAGGGGAGCACGCTCAGTAGGGCTTGCTATCATTCTTCGAACGTTTGAGCTGCACTTTGAGCCGCTTCATGCCGATCTGAAAGCCGTTCATGGACTGGATGGCAGCTTGAGCCGAAACAGGATTGTCGTAACTTACAAAACCTGTGTGACAGTCCAAGCAGAAACCTAGGTGAGGGACATAATGAGGCAAGGAGATTCTCAGTCCTCCTTATGCAAGAGATAACTCATATACTTAATCTCAAATCCCAATTTTTCTCAGCAGAGATAAGAAATCTGGAAACTGCACTGCATGGAATAAATTAGTTTCCTAACAGTACCACTTGACACCTACATGGTACTTTCAGGGGTTTTTTGCAAGCTATTTTCCATATGCTATTTTTCCCTCTGGAACAACAGTGTGGGTAGAAATCATGACCTCCACTCTAGAAATGAGAAAACTGAAGCTCAAAAAGAGGTCATGTGACTTGCCCAAGGCTGAGCTAAACAACAGCCCAAACTCAAATCCAGCTCTTTCTGTAATCAGCCCCTCTTTCTTTCACACTGGTAAATACTTAATCCCACCAGGTGTGGTGGTTCACGCCTGTAATCCCAGCACTTTGGGAGGCAAAGGCTAGAGGATTGCCTGAGCGCAGGGGTTCGAGACCCACCTGGGCAACTTGGTAAGATCTCCTCTCTAAAATAAATCAAAAAATTAGTTTTGTGTGGTGACACATGCCTGTAGTTCCAGCTACCTAGAAGGTTGAGGAGAAAGGATCGCCTGAGCCCAGGCGGTCAAGGCCGAGGTGGCTGTGAGCATCCATTGCACTCCAGCCTGGGCAACAGAGTTAGACTCCTACTCAAAACAAAACAAAACAAAGCTTAATTCCACTATGATAACAATGAGAAGCCAACATACCAAAACACTTGCTCAGGTTTGTCTGCTTGTCTATAAAAACCTTGGCAGACACGACATTCCCAAAGGGCATAAACATCTGCAGCAGGTCCTGATCTCCAAACTCCTGGGGCAGGTGGTAGATGAACAGGTTGGCGCCCTCCGGACCTGCAAAATGCCCAGCGATCGAAAAGGCATCAGTGCCAAGCACACTCATCACCCTGCACCCACACTTTTTCCTGGCCACCGATGTTGCAAGTGTCACAATCCCAATAGACAGACACTCATTTGGGGACCTAAACAGATACAAGGCAGGGAACCAAAGGGCAACCACTAAAATCGATTCCTTCTCTCAGGTTTAGCTGAGCTCTGTCTCACTGGGGATGTCAAGGGTTTACCTTGTGGGAGGAGGAGTGCTGGGTAACAAAGCAGGCAGACTTGCAAATGGAGCAGTAAAACAAAGACTAAAGGCTCACGAAGGAACACAGAAAAGGAGGCAGAAAGAGGCTGTACACAAAACAGCTTTCAAAGCGCATCTGGAAACTACAGGCACTGCAAATAGACTGGTAGTCGCCTGAGGTGAGGGGGAGGGGTCAGGGAGTGAGTACAAAGGGGCATGAGGGAATTTCTGGAGGCAATGAAAATCTTCTCAATCTGTGGTGTTGGTAATATGACTGGATGTGTTCATCAATGCTCATAGAGCTATATGCCAGAACTGGTGAGTTTTCCCTATGTAAATTGAGCCTCAGTAAAAAAAAATTACATTTTTAAAAACGTACCTATATTAGCAGAGTTCAAACAGAATATACTTTGTTTATCTAACTACTTATACTCGATGATTTTCTAACCAAAGTGTCTTATCTTATTACAGTTGCAGTTCAGCCATTCTTCAGCCTTCCTGGCCTCCATGTTGTCGTCAAACACATTAAGGAATACTGCTGCCCTAGGGCCTTTGCACTCGCAGTTCCTTAGCCTCATTAGTCTTTTCCTCTAGAAAAGTGTATGGTTTACTTCCTCCTTCCTTCATATCTGTTTAAATGTCAACTTAGAGACTCTCTCTGAGCATTCTGTAAAAAAATGCAGTGCCCTGGTTTTCCCTGCTCCTCTTTTCTGTTGTCACTCTTCAGAGGATCATCTGAAACATTTCATGCTTTCCTTTGTTTATTGTCTGTCTCCACAGTCTCCAATGAAATACTGGTTCATGAGAGCCGGTCGCCCACTACCATATCCCCAGGGCTATGAAGTGTCTGATTCAAAGCAGGTATATGGCAAGAGGATACTAGTCTCTTTCCTACATTGGTGCTTAAAGCTTGCCAGCTCCTAGTTATAAAACCCTAGTGAAATCTCAGCACAAAGACATCAGCAGGACTTTATATTCATACAAACTACATTATTCATACAAACCACGTTAAGCCTTTCTGGCTAGAAAGTCTCTCCTAAAACTGATACCATTTATGTCATAGGACATTCTTCCCACTCCATCAACCCCGGGCCAAAGCTCTTTCTGCCCCATCACCCCTCAGTTTGTCCTCAATTAGGACAAACATCAATCAGAAAGTGAGGAAAATACCAAATGATGCCACAAAAAGGGACATCTAGACAGAAGACACCTAGAGAGAAGATTTTCTGACAGATCTGTAAGCCAGAGAGAAGTCTTCCTAACAAAAATAGATTCTTGCCAAATGTGCTAGACACAATAAGGTAAATATCTGTTTGTTCATCTAAAAACTGCAGCCCCATCCCAGGAGGGCATATGGAGGTTTTGATTTGAGTCACATCTCAAAAGCAGATCACACTTCACAGAGATTCTCAGTCTACCCTTGGCACTGTCAAAGCAAAGTGCTGGTCTGACCACCTGAATGGTTCTCTCTGCCTTTCAGTTCTGGTACAGATGGAATAACACCCCCATGCTTGACCCCCAATCTCCCTTTGCACTCACCTTCCTTCTGGCTTCCAGCAGCACCAATACTCTGCTGTGTCAACAGATTCTGGTTGTACAGAGTGGGGAGCGCTGCGGCAGCATATTGCTGGATACCCGAATAGGCCTGAGTAAGGGCCTCCATGGTGCTCCCAGTGCCGTTGGAAAGGCCACTGCTGCCCAGGCCACCATTTAAGGCAGCCATCCCTTAGTTGGGGAAAGAGAAGGATGAACATAACTAGAAAGACTCAATGTATGCCAAAGACAGGTATACTTGGTATACACAGGAACACCTAGAAGAGGGAAAACTCCAAGTTCTCCCTTTCATTTCCCTCTTAAGCTTCTCCTTGAGGAAAACAAAAACAAAAAAATTCAATTTGATCAAATTTCAGGATGTTCACCAGGCTTTGCAGCTAATGAGGGTACTAAAAAAAAAAAAGCCATATCCAGGTATGGTACTCTCCAGTGCCTTCTTCCAGCCTGTGAAAGAAGTGATACCACATATACACGGGTGGCTCCGCTTTCTCTTTGGTTACCCGGCCACTTTCTCATACAAAGCTGGAATGTGGTAAAACTAGCGTTCCAGGACGAGGAGCTAGAAGGTACACGTGACCTATGACAAGATGTGGGTAAACACTATCATCAAAATAGCAGCTAACACTCATTGAGTAGATTTTTTTTTAAATGCAAGGGGAGGCTGAGCTCGGTGGCTCAGCCTGTAATCCCAGCACTTTGGGAGGCTGAGGCGAGGGGATTGCCTAAGCCCCACAGATTTGAGACCAGCCCGGGCAACTTGGCAAGACCTCGTCTCTACAATAAAAAATCAAAAATTAGCTGGGCGTGTAGTTCCGACTTCTTGGAAGGCTGAGATGGAAGGATCGCCAGAGACCAGCAGGTTGATGCTGGGTGTGCCATGAGTGTGCCGCTGCACTCTAGCCTGGGCGACAGAGTGAGATTCTAACTGAAAAAAAGGGGAGGGGCGGGGGACGGGACGAGCAGATCACGAGTCCCAGGCATCCTGTAAAGTAGGTGGGTCACCTTAGAGGCAACCTTTACCTGCTCAAAAATTCATCTCACATTAGCAGTGAGAATTCAGGGGTCACCCCAAATCGTTATTTTTCTTACACGTAAGTTTAAGGCATTACTGAGCAGATTCTATGCTCTAGGCACTATGCTGAGCAATATGCTCATCAGTAATTTATCTCACTTTAATTTCTGAATAATGCTTCAAAGTATTCTATTACTCCCATTTCAAAGATGAGAAAGTGACCTTAGAAAGGTGGTCTAAAGTTATAGTTAAGGGGCAGAGGTGAGATTTATCTTAAGTCTGATGAGAAATACCATGATTATTTCTAACTTTGCTGGGCTACTTCAATCATTTCAGTGTTGCCCCTACCAAGGTTGTTTAATCGTGTTTGCCACACACAGAATGGCCTGATGACAGCCAGGAACTGTCTCTTACCTGCCAAAGAGCCAACGTTGAGGCCAGCTGTTGCTCCTGCTAATGTCTGCAGTGCTCCAAGTGAGGCTATGGGGTTGACAGAGTTACTGCTGCTGGAGCTAGGTGAGGACCCTGCTATTAGAAATCCAGGAGTTAAACTCAAGCCATCGCTTGCCTTTTCTTGTCAACAGGAACCAAAGCATGAGAGTGACAATACTCAAGTATTTTACTCACAAAGAGGTTTTTGGTTACTAATTCTGATAACTGTCCTTGCAGAACAAAGAGACAATGGCTATAGCAAACTAAAAATTATGAGATTTCTCTCAAACAAGAAGGTAATACTTGAAAATGTGTTTTTTGGCCAGATGTGGTGGCTCATGTCTGTAATCCTAGCACTTTAGGAGGCCAAGACGGGAGGATTGCTTGAACCCAGGAATTTCAGACTAGCCTGAACAGCATGGAGAGACATCGTCTTTACAAAAAAATTAAAAAAAAAAAAAAAATAGCTGGGCATGGTGGTGCATGCCTGCACACCCAGCTATTCAGGAGGCTGAGGCAGAAGGATCACCCGAACCCAGGAGGCTGCAGTGAGTTCTGATCATACCACTGCACCCCAGCCTGGGTGACAGAGTGAGACCTCAACTGAAAATAAGAAAATGTGCTGTACATAATCTGACCCCTTTGGAAATGAATGTTAACTACCTTCCAGGAACGCCATATCCCTTTCTTTGGACTTTAAACAGAAAGGATCTGTACAAGGCACATAATGGCATGCCAGTCCCCATTACACACTTACCTGAACTGGTGAGCACGCTGAGGGGACTGCTGGATGTAGTGAGAGCATTGGTACCACTTGGTGTGTTCTGAGCAGCACTAGCTGCAGCAGCTAGGGCAGCCAAATTCTGTAACTGCATTGCATTTAACCCTGCAACATCCAAAGCAACAGATCAGCCGGCAGATAAGGGTGACTCAAGTCCATTCCAGCATGACAGCACACACTGGCAGAAGACTGGCTCCAAAGAGGAACTGTTCTAAATAAGCCTTACAAACTGTATTACAGGCCTCCAAAAGACTCAGACACCACTCACTGAGAAATCTGAAATCCTTTCCTCAAAGAGAGACAGCTAATTCAATGGCATACCACCCTAAGCAAGCATTAGTAAGGGGCGGGCAATTTGGAAACCAGGAAATAGGAGTACGTCTATAGCCTACCATATGGCCAGGAGCCCAAAAGAACAACCCCAAAACCTATGGCACAGAAAGGGACTGTATCCAAGTCCCTCACTCACACTTGACAGGGGATTTGCCCTCTGCAATGAAGGGAACAACAAAAAAAAATGTAGTACAGATGCAGAAAGCCCAGGAAGAACAACAAGGGAAAATATTTATGAAAACAGAAAGGGGACAAAAAATAAAGAAAACACCACTTTCAGAGTATATTCATCATCAGAAGAAGAGAGGAAAAATCACTGTGATCAAGATTTTCGTATAGAACCTAGGCAACAGAGCGGAAAGAAAAGAAGAAATGTGAACTATGTTGTCCCTGCAGCATTTGCAAACCATGTACTAGATGATGGAAAGGTAGATGGAGTGGGGATAGGGGATACGTGGAAAAAGTAAGAACATAAATACAATATTGGCCAGGCACAGCAGCTCATGCCTGTAATCTCAGCACTTTGGGAGGCTGAGGTAGGAGGATTGCTTTAGCCCAGGAGCTGGAGACCAGCCTATGCAACAAAGCGAGACCTTGTCACAAAACAATCAAAACATTAGCCATATATGGTGGCACATGCTGATAGTCCCAACTACTTGGAAGGCCAAGGAGGGAGAACTACTTGAGCCCAGGAGTTCAAGGCTATGATGAGCTGTGATCGTGACACTGCCCTTCAATTTGGGTGACAGAGTGAGGCCCTGACTCAAAAATCAAACAAAAATATAGACTATAATGTAGCAACTTTCCAAAAACAGCTAACTATAACTATTGGGACACAGCAAATGACCATCAAAACTTTTCAAGGTGTAAAATGCAGTTCACGGAAGATACTCACTCTCCAGTGCACCTGCCTAGCCTTAACCTGTTGCAGAGCATGTAGGCACAGGCAGCCTTCCAACGGCCCCGCTCCCCACCCCTACTGACTTCTGATGGCTCCTGGTTCAGGTTGTCTGTGGAGCCCCAATTTGTTAAACTCAGGTATCTGTCATTTAAATTTTCCATCTATGTCAACAACAACAAGCCAGGTGTGCTGGCTCACATTTGTAATCCCAGGGAGGCGGAGACAAGAGGACTGCCTGAGCCCAGAGGTTCAAGACCAGCCTGGGCAATGTGACAAAACCTCATCTCTACAGTAAATCATAAAATTAGCTGGGTGTGGTAGTGCATGCCTGTAGTTCCAGTTAGTTGGAAGGCTGAAGTGGAAGGATCACCTGAGACCAGCAGGTGGAGGATGTGGTGGCCGTTGAGTATGCCACTGCATTCCAGCCTGGGCGACAGAGTAAGACCCAATCCAAAAAACAAAACAAAATCCCAATAACAAGTACAAGACACACAGATAAACTGCCTGGGTTCTAGGTGCTTCAGGGTAAGCTATTTGCGTGGAAGCAATCTTTGGCTTTTCTGTAGAGTCACTTTATTGTAGAAATAAAAGAGTTCCTGCAATTTTCTCCTTATCAGAATGGTCTCAGATAGTCTCTAGGTGCTAATAGCACTTTTCCATTTTCTTCCCCAACAGTGACTTAAAAGAGTAGGTGGAAGCAGACAGCCTCAAAGCAATGTGGTATCAACTAGCACAGAGACACCTTACAGAGACAAGGCAGTTGAGTCCTGAGATGTTCAGCTTAGGTCAGGTTTATGTAACGAGTGAATTTTTTTTGTTGCACAAATGGTGCCAAACTCCCAAACTGTTGTTAGCTGAGTCTGCTGGCCTGGGCGCTGCTGCTCCTCCACAGCAGTGAAACACTCACCTCCCATTGGGTGGAGGCTGCTCAGGGTGTTGAGGTTCCCAGAGGAGGCAGTCTGCTGAAGGAGCTGCAAATAAAGCTAGACATTACACCAAAAAACAGAACAAGAGTGAGAGTGAGGGCTGGTTCTGCATCTGGGATAACTCTACAGCACAGCAAAGCGAGAGTGCAGAGGCCCCAGAGAGAAGAAAGTCGAAGACAAGAACCCAAGCCAACACAACAGCATCATGAGGCTTATGACAGCACAGGACAATACGACATAGCTAAAGCCCTGGTCCAGAAGACATGTTCACTGAGTACTGAGCCGAGCTCAAACCCCTGGGCAGCAGAATACAGCACAGCAGAGGGCAGAAATAGAGCTGAGTAACAAGTTAAACTCAGGCAGTGGTGCAGTCAATTGCAATTCATGTCTATGAATGCATGACACCATTTCAAGTTCCCCTCTCCCAAGTTCTCCTTAAGTAGTAGGTCCACACATCTTATTCTACAGATTTTTTCCATCTGGATACCCAATTTCTACTTTACTTAACTATTTTAAATAGTAAAACTGGCCATTTTATGGTATTTCTTGAAGTCACCCTTCACTGGTTACAGTGGACCCCATGACTTACTGGTCACTCCCAGCTATACAACTATCAGTCCTATTTATCTCCTCCCCACCAAATTGGTCTTCATTGTTGCAGACGACCAAATGATTGATGGATCAGTCCATACCAGATTCAGTGTACATTCTCCTTCAATAACAGATCATAAATAAAACAAAGAGGGCCTGCCCATAAGCTTATGGAAGTAGACATTACTTTACTTTGTATATTGGCAAACCACAATCTTTAGCTCACTCATCTACTGAAAACTTTTGCTCCATTCAAGCCTGGTTACTACTGCTTATGCAAAATTGGTATTTTTGTCCTAGATTCTTTATTTAACCTATTTTCCATTCCTTATAAACATCTGACCTGGTTCCTTGGTCACCATAAATCTCTCCAGAGTTCATGGATGGGTTTCAGGAGGTTCACAAGCCTCCAAAAATCAAATGGGAAAAAACGTACACATACACACAATTTTTACCACTTCTCAAAGTGGTTTACGCCCCATAAAGATTAAGAACCACTGCTTGGCTGGGCGCAGTGGCTCAGCCTGTAATCCCAGCTCGAGACCAGCCTGGGCAACCTGGTGAGACCACGTCTCTACAATAAATCACACACAAAAAAGAACTAGCTGGACGTGGTAGTGTGCATCTGTAGTTCCAGCTACTTGGAAGGCTGAGGCGGAAGGATTGGCTAAGCCTAGCAGGTCGAGGCTGCAGTAGCCGTCAGCGTGCCACTGCACTCCAGTCTGGGCGACAAGAGTGAGACTCCAACTCAAAAAAAAAAGAAAAAAGAAAAGAAGAACCACTGCTTTAGTCCAGTAGAGCTCAGTTGGTTCACAGTCACTTATTCCAGAAACAACCTCATCATTAATGGTGATGTACTATCATTTACATAGTCCATTATTAGCACCCACATCTTCATCTTCTTAAATACTGTGGGTAATGTGTTCAGTCCCAGCTGGTAGAATGCGCATACTGTACTTGGCCCCTTCATTTCCTCCCTAAATGAGATGAGCTCTGAGGGTGGGGACCACCTCTAACTGAAACAAAGAGACCACAGCAGCTCTTAATGTATACCATCATGCATTCAACAAAAAAGTGAATCTTCCCTAAAGAAAAGCAAATGCATATCCTGGAGATGATTTTCAAAGTATAATCATTTTGGTAGAAGACTAAAATCTCTCTGAATTTTCTAAACTTATAAAGCAATGTTTTAGCACTAAGAAACAATTTATTCTACTGAAATATGAAAAACCTTCTATCTTTAAAAAAAAGTTTTTTTCAGAGAAATAGTATCTAGGGTAAGCTGAAATTTCTCCTAAGATTTAAGAAACATGAAAACCACGGGAGATTAAATTAACCAAAATTCATTATTGGGGGACAGAAATCAGTGCCTTTATTCTGTCTTCACACAGAATTACTCTTGAAAGGATGAGCAGTGAATGATTATGCTAGTTATTACTATATTTTTATATTATCCATCTAAATCTAGTAGTTTCACCATTTTAGCTTTTCTTTTTGCCTCACAGATGGGTTTAAGTGTCTTGTGTTGACTGCAGTTCCTTTAAGGGTTAAACCATTAATAATCCCCTGTAACATATATTGCAGACCTGGTAAAGCTAAACAACAAATCAGATGCAGACCTTCTTTCTGACTATGTGGTTCACACTCAACAACAGGGAGAGCAAATTAAAGGTCTATTTACAATGTAGCAAACTTGTACACCTATAAAACTCATGTAATAAATGTCCATGTTAACCTCTTGGTCTCTCAGACCACTGAAAGAAACATTTATCATACTCTTTTAGGAAAGACGCAAAAGAATTTAAATGGTGCCCTCTACATGTGGTAGAAAGAGATATTGAGAAAAATGCTTGGCAGTTAAGATTCCCTTAGGAATTTCTTTCTTGAAGGCAGAGATTTGAGATGTTTCTAAATCTTTAAATCAGGATTTCACTTTAATTGTAGCAAAAGCCTCAAGATATAACCAGAGGTGGAGGGTCCAAAGATAGGAGGGGGGAAGAAGGAGAGAGGGAGGGAGTGAAGGGAGGTAGGAAGGTCACTAACATGACTTAAAAAATATTGCATTGCCTGCATTTTTACACATAATTCCTAAATGCAAAAAGTAATGCCACTGTGTCTGCTAGCTATGGACAACAGAAGAAGAAACAGCTGGGAGCTTGCACAGTCTGCAGAAAGCAAACCACAAAGACTCACTGCTAAATACTGGGGTCCAAGAGTATTTAGACCAGCAAGGTTTCCCCACACAGATGCTGCGCTGATTTGCTGCATCTGCTGCTGGAGCTGCTGGGCCATTCTCTTCTGTTCTTTATCCTTCTGTGTATCAGCAAATTTCACCACCATGGGAGATGAGCAACCCTATGAAAACACCAAAATCAAAGGGTCAAATTCCTTCCCCTAAGTGAAGGAAAAATCCTTTTTGGCAACAAGCAGTCTGTATTGTAATTTCATTTATCACCAAATGATTCTTCTCCTGATAGACACAAGTGACAAGAGACAATTTAAAAGGGCAACTATTTCCAATATATTAATTTTAAAGAAAGCATTGGTTTTTAACTTTAAGATAGATTGACAGTTCAACTTTTTAGGCAGTTAGATGCTGCACATGCTGCTGGACTTTGACTGACAGCTGTCAGCATTCTCAGGTTAAAGGATTTTCCCCATCACCTATCTGCTCCCTACCTCCATGGTCTGTGCTTGATGCATTGCCTTGATAGCTGTCTGTGCCATGGCTCTTGTTGTAAAAGTCACAAATGCACAACCTGGTAAGAGAAGAGTCAACAACTCATTCATTCGCTTATTTATCTGACAGACATTTACTGAGCATCTACTATGTGCTAACTACTATGCCAATAGTGTAAATATGATCCCTGTCTTCAGGGGTTCATGAGCTGGTGGAGACAGATATGTTACAACAGGGTGATTAGTGCTATGATGAAAAACCAGAGAGCCAGAGACAACGGGGAAAAAATGCTTGAAGCAGAAAAGAGGACTTATATCCTCTAGTTCCTCTTGAAAAATAAAATAGGAGAAGGAAGTGAGAGTTTCCATTCTGGCATCAAGAACCTCTCCAGGCACCAAAAGAGAAAATCTTAATATATGACACAGAAATGTAGAATGCAGACTTCTTAGAGGGATTGGGAGAATATAAAAGAAATCAACTGACAGGAGGAATTGAGGCAAGACTTAGATATACCAGGGGAAGTGGCAACCCCAACCTCTTCTTCATGACAGGGATACATTGGCTAGAAATCAATCACAGTGGCTGGTTTCCACTGGTTCAATTAAAGAGACTCCAAATTTAAAACAAATATCATTAAAAGCTAAAATTGTGAAATTGTACCTACCTCGGCTCAGGCCATCAGGTCCCCGCAATATCCGGCACTCTTCAATCTGTCCAAATGAAGAGAACATGACTCGGATGTCATTTTCAGTGCACTTCTTGGAAATCATACCAATAAACAGCTTCCTGTCTTCCACTGCTAAGAGAGTAAAACACAAAAGGCTTGAACATTATTATTATTATTATTTTGAGTTGGAGTCTCACTCTGTCGCCCAGACTGGAGTGCAGTGGCCGCTCCCGGCCACCGCAGCCTCAACCTGCTGGGCTCCGGCGATCCCTCCACCTCAGCCTTCCAAGTAGCTGGAACTACAGGCGTGTGTACCACGCCCGGCTAATTTTTGATTTATTGTAGAGATGAGGTCTTGCCAAGTTGCCCAGGCGGGTCTCGAACCCGCGGGCTCAGGCAATCCTCTCACCTCAGCCTCCCAAGGCGCGGGATTATAGGCTAAGCCACCAAGCCCAGCTTGCTTGAACATTATTACTAAAAGAGGCAGTATAGCACAGACTTGTAAGCCAGACCACCTGGGTGTAAATGCTGGCTCTGTGTTTATATTTATTTCACAGATTTGAAGACACACATTTTTCCCACATAATTTTACATCTTCTCTTATAACCAATGGTGGCTTAAGATTATAACTGCAAGCATTACAACCGTTATAATTATTATAACTGGTAGCTATGTGATTTTTGTGAAAAGTTATTTAACCATCTGTACCTGTTACCTCATCTGATTAACAGGGATAACCAGGCTTATGTGAAAGGGTGGCTGTAGGTGTTAAATGCAAAGTGCTCTGCATCTTGCCTAGTACTCAGCATTGTTTGCTCTTACTAGCAATACTACTAAAGAGGTTTTCCCACTTACTTTACATGATCAGTGGAAAAGAACATACCTTTCAGTGAGTATAACTGTCTATGTTACCTTTCTGACTATATTCTTGAAGATTAAGTTCTTCTTTCTAACTTGTTCATATTCTCCTCACTCCTGTTCATGAGAAGTTATTCTGACCAAGTATATTCCAGTCCAATCTAAAATGTTCTTATGTCTCCCTGTCAACTATATTTTTCTCATTTTATGGATCACATTTGCTTTAAAAGAAAAACCTGAGACAATTTAGGTGACAGAGTACTTAGAGCACTACTCAGTACAGATATCATAAAAACAGCACACAAGCTAGACAGAAGCCTTAGAAGGGGACGAGTTTATACACTTGCTTACCATTGTTCTTCTCACTGTCAGCAGGTTTCATCTGTATAGGATGATGCATCTAATAAGGAAAACACATGAGTACTATCACTGTACACATTGGTGGCATTCAGACATATACATGAGGACTCTAAAAGAAACACCCTAAGTAGAGCCTTAGAGAGTTCACTCTGAACTCACATCTGATCCATGATCTCTCCCCACAAAACACATAGCTATAAAATGTGGAGTCAAGAAGTCAAAACACCAAAGACTCTTGGCTGAGAAAGAACTAATACCAACCTATCTTCTTTGAAATGCTTCCTTTATGCCCTCCTTTCCATCAATTCCCGGGGCAGTTATGTTTCCCCAAAGTAGTTTTAAGTGTGTGCCCGATATGTGTAAGTATGCCTCATGTATGAAAATGACACTTGCTCACTACAATACTTCTATTTGCTAATAGGAGATTTCTTACCCCTGGAAGAACCTTCATGTTGTGAAGAGCATTCTGAGCTTCTAATGCAGCTTTACGGGTGTAAAATGTAACAAAACAGCACCCTGCAATAAACAAGATTTCATAAAATCAAACTTTGAACACAGACAATTCCTAAAGCACTTCCTCCACACTCCTTTAAAAGAGAGGACTGTATTAATTAAAATTGGAGAAAGAGAGACAAGAAGGGGTGAAGAAGAAGAGAAGGGAAAAGAATGAATATGAATATCAAACTGGAAAAAAAGAGGTTATTTTCTTTCTTTTTGAGTTGGAGTCTCACTCTGTTGCTCAGACTGGAATGTAGTAGCACACTCATGGCCACCCCAGCATCAATCTGCTGGGCTCCAGCGATCCTTCCGCCTCAGTCTTCCACGTAGCTGGCACTATAGGCACACGCTACCACATCTGGCTGATTTTTTATTTATTATAGAGACCAGGTCTTGCCAAATTGCCTGGGCTAGTCTTCAACCCGCAGGCCCAGGCAATCCACTTGCCTTGGCCTCCCAAAGTACTGGGATTACAGGCTGAGCCACTGAGCTTGGCCTAGAGGTTATTTTTTAGGCATTTTCCTTATTGTTTTAGTCTCCTTCTAGTTATGTTAAAAGTTTTCTTTAGGACCAGGTGCGATGGCTCAAGCCTGTAATCCCAGCACTTTGGGAGGCAGAGGTGGGAAAATTGCTTGAGCCCAGAAGTTCAAGACCAGCCTGGGCAACATAGCAAGATCTTACCTCTACAAAAAGTCAAAATACCCGGATGCAGCAACTCACACCTGTAATCCCAGCACTTTGGGAGGTGGAGGCTCTGAGACAGTTGCCGGAGTCCAGGGATTTGAGACCAGCCTGGGCAACTTGGTGAGATCTTGTCTCTACAATAAATAAAAAATTAGCTGGGTGTGGTGGTATGCCTGTACTTCCAGCTATTTGGAAGGCTGAGGTGGACGGATTGCCTGAGTCCAGCGGATCAAGGTTGTGGTGGCTGTGAGCATGCCACTGTACTCTAGCATGGGTGACAGAGTGAGACTCCTATTCAAAAAAATAAAAATAAAAATATCAGTCAAGTGTGGTGGCACATGTCTACAGTCCCAACTACCTGGGAAACTGAGGTGGGAGAATCACTTAAGCCCAGTAGAGGCCAAGGTGAGCCGTTACCATGCTACTGCACTCTAGACAGGGTGAAAGAATGAGATGTCCACTAAAAAAAAAAAAAGTCCTCTTTTGCTTTTCTGGAAAAGATGATTTCCCTTACGAAGATCATGTGCCATTCCATGCAACCACCCAAATCAGAACACCAGGTAGCATGCTAGACGAAGACAGACGGGGCCCTATACTCATGCAGCTTGTAATCTACCAGGGATTCTTTTCTTCCCTGCTCTCTGAGAATAAACCACTCGCTACATTGTAGCCAGATTCTACCATATGACTCAAACATAATTGTCACTTATTAATAAATCAGAAAATGACTTAAGAGCAAGAACCTCTTAACATCTTTTTTTGGAATCCTGGTTCTCATCAAATATAATTAAGCTCCTAAAAGCACATGGTGCTGCCTCAGATCTGTAGATTTTGTGCTTTGTATCTTTATTTGGGATGGGAGGGGAAGTATTTCTTGTAAACCTTGGGCTTTAGTGTTCTGACACTCCCATGTTTTCATGAGATACAATATAGGATTTAGATACAATATAGATTTCTTTCAAAATCATGCTAGAATTTTAAGTTACTAAATGTTATATTGCTAGCCATTTTCAGAAACTATGATACTTCGTATTCTTAACTATGCCACAAAGAAAAAATAATTTTCTGCTTCTAGATCCTCTGCTATTAAGTTGGTTTCAAACACGACAATCATACTTGCTTAAAGTTGCCCTGTAGAACAGCTTTCACAGAAAATTACTCTAAAACTGGTCAAATGGAAAATAAGAACAAGTCTGTGGGGTAAAGCTAATACCCGTCTACCATCGGTCCTGTGAAACTTCTACTCTGCTGGGTATTTCTGGAAGCAGCTCAGTCTTTCTTCTGTTCATTCTGTAATTTCAGTAAACAAGTTGCCTAAACAAGTCCTTCCTAGTTGATAAATCATCCTGCAAAGCCTGTGTGATACCAACAAGCAATTCATGAGTACGTAGATAGTCTTTCTCTTTCAGCTTAGTCTACTCAAAATACTAAAGAAAACCTTATGTGGTTGGTATACTTCAATTGTTTGTCATTCTGTCCTAGGATCAAATGAGACACTCACATTCACTATCTCTTGCATTTAGAGATCTCACAAAAGACTACCTAAGACTCAATTTACAAATCATCCTCATAACGTCATCTTAACTTTTTTTTTTTTTTTAGTCAGCCTCTCTGTTGCTCAGGATAGAGAGCAGTAGCACATTCACGGTCACCCCAGCATCGACGTGCTGGGTTTAGGAAATCCTTCCGCCTCAGTCTTCCAAGTAGCTGGAACTACTGGCATGTGCTACCATGCCTGGCTAATTTGTTGGTTTTTTTTTTTTAAAGTTGGAGTCTCACTCTGTCCCCCAAACTGGAGTGCAGTGGCTGCTCCCAGTCACTGCAGCCTCGACCTGCTGGGCTCCCGGCGATCCTTCTGCCTCAGCCTTCCCAAGTAGCTGGAACTACAGGCGGATGCTACC